ACAATTGAAAAACATGTACAAGAAAGTTAAATTCACTTTATTAATTGGTAAGATTTCAAAATAAAAAAAATATAATTCTGATGACTAATGTATCCTATTGTCGCATCATTTCTCCAGATATTTTTTTTTTAAATAAGTTCCTGAGAGTTCCCGACTGTGTTCATGTACTTATCCATGCCAAGAAATCTCGTCCGGTTTACGCAGCGATGAAGTCAATAAAAGTGTAATTGATGCAAATCACCCGTATTCCCAAAACGCTGGCAAGACAATTTACGGCAGCAGATTTCAGGGGGGGGGGGGGGTTAGATCCTAGGTTTTCAGCTTTCTTAGTTAAAGAAAAATAAACTTGATACATTCCACCATTTATTTCTATCAGTGACATTTTTACATTAAAATATTTACATAGCCATCAGGTTACATCTAGGTATCACACCGGTAATTGTTTTCACTATAAATTTCCATATAGAATAAAAAATCGTAAAAAAAAAAAAGGTATTTGTTTACTTGAAAAAATATTTAGCAGGAGGTGTTAAACATTATTTGTCACAATAGCTGACACACCCTCACACACAAACGGTACCTACACGGCATTTTCTGACTTTTTCCATCTGCAAACAGGGCTACCCTCAAATCCTCATGTTTATAAACATTCCGAGTGCATCGCAGGAAACAGAAGTAGCCTCCTATGCCCGGAAAAAATATTTCCTGTCAAATTCCTTTATTTGTTCAAAAAGTACATAGAATTTACTAGGCACAGGTACCAAAGTTGTAAAAATGGCTTGGAAGAAAATAGAAAAACGTCTCAAAAGAAAGGAAAATTTGACAAGTTGATTTTGATTGGTCAATTACCGGTGTGATACCTGTACCCATTTAGTACTCCTGTTTAACCAGGAAATGATGTCTATTTCCGGAAATTTGGTACCCTTTTCCCCATAATTCGACGAGCGGTACTTCCACAACTGCCAAGTTCATCGAACTCGACGTTATTTTATACTAAGGAAAAAAACATTTATATGGAAATACGTAAAAAATTGAAAGACAGCTTATTTCTACTGAAGAATTAGTTTACTATAATTACTAGTTTTTAACTTTCCTTTTCTTTAATTTTTTACTTCTTTTTTTTTTTTTTTTTTTTTTACAGTATCTGATTTAGATGACCCCGCCCCCCCCCCCAAAAAAAAAGGTTTCTAAATAATTAGTTTTGCACGTATGTTTTAAACCCAGTAAAACTTAAGATCCCTCCCTCAAAACTTCTAACATTAATTGCCTCGCATATATGCCGGGAAAGGAATCACAGATTAACGCTAATTCGGCTTTTATTGGGTTCGTTCTCCTGATAGAATGCGTAGGTTTTCTTGGCATGGTGAAAGATCTTAAACCCCCCTTTTCTGTTTGATTGAATTCCATTGCTAATGCATCAAATTCTTTTGATATAATATATTTAGACATAAAATGACTTACACCGGTAATAAATTTGATTTAATGGACCGGGCGAAATGAATGAAACCTGCAGAACACCATAATATGCAGATAAAAGCAACACTCTCAAATATTTTCTGTGCCAAAATAATTAAATGTGAATATTTTTAAAAAATTCTTAAACGAGCTAAATTCAAATCACGACAAGGCCAAAAATCTTTTACATGTATCTCAACATAACTTTTCTGACTGATTTTTCTGACGGTGAAAGATCTTAACCACCCTTTTCTGTTTGTTTGAATTCCATTGCTAATAAATCAAATTCTTTTGATATATATATATATATATATATATATATATATATATATATATATATATAGAGAGAGAGAGAGAGAGAGAGAGAGAGAGAGAGAGAGAGAGAGAGAGAGAGAGAGAGAGAGAGAGAGAGAGAGAGAGAGAGAGAGAGAGAGAGAGACATTAAATGATCTACACCGGTAATAAATTTCATTTAATGGACCGGGCAAAATGAATAAAACCTGCAGAACACCATAATATACAGATAAAAGTAACATTCTCAAATATTTTCTATGCCAAAATAAATAAATTGGAATATTAAAAAAAAAAAAACACCTTAAACGTGCAAAATTCAAATCACGACAAGGCCTAAAAAATCCTTTAAAATAATACAGTGAAAAAAAATCAGTGAATTTGCATTTAGATTTAGCAAAATTGATTTGTCTGTTTTTTTTGTTGTTTGTTTGTTTTGTTTTTTGTTTTTTTTTTTTTTTTTTTTTTTTTTGAGAGAGGATCTCAAGCAAAAATGAAGAAATTATTATTTCGGTCTTCTTTAGAATATTTCTTTTAAACTCCCCATTATCTTATTAATGCAGACGAAATTCTACTGAGTTTATGATAAAGACATGGACATATAATCCTACACTTGGTTCAAAATAATATTTCTCTATAATTGATGACTTGATGCTATTGGTAAAAATTGAGGGCTAGCCAAGATAAGCATCGTAGCAGGCAGTTTGATATATACCTTAAGTGATAAAAGAAATGGTTGCTTTGCATACTTGAAATAAAAATACAAACTATTACAAAATTGTAAGTTACATGTATAAACACATAGATCGTCTCGTATCCTATTTTCGACCGTATTGTATTTTCGACCTATTTTTCCCAATCTGCTTCCCGTGCAGATACCGCATGGTAGAACATTATTTTCGGTTGCTACATTTAGAAAAATACCTTTGAAGCACAAATGTAGTGAAAATACCCAAAATAATTAATTCAACGGAATTCCCGCGACGGTTTTAGTCCGTTGTCAGAAATTCTAGTCTTTTTACTAATGCACATTTTATCTGTTGATTAATCAAAGCCGTAATCGGTTAATTACAAAGATTTTTTTATGACATTTTTTCCGAAAGAAAATTAAGATCTCTGTCAAAGAGACGCATGAATATTGAAATGAATGGGCGGATCAAACGAATTTTTTTCTTTCTTAAAAATGGGCACTTTCTTACAAATTTTTACTGAAAAATGCAACGTAATTTCATTGATTTTTTGTAGAAATGCACAGCTACTGACAGATGGGTTCAACCAACGAATAAATGTATTTGCAATCAAAGTATGCAACTTTTTCAATGTTTTTTTGAAAGACAGACAATCATATTTTTATTGTTTGGAATATCCAATGGATATTTATAGCCAATACTGATTTGGCATTGATACGATATTTAGGTCGAAAACACAAGACGCTAATATTTTTTTAAGGAAAACTGCACCCTCTCCATATTATGGCATATAAATAAAATAAACACAAAACTGCTATTTGGGTTATATCATTTTATTTATAGACACATATGCTAACATTTTAAGCCAATATTTTCTCAGATTCTATAAAGTTTGCAATAAATTAATAAATAACGTCTTATTATAATAAGTCTAAAATACAGGGGCGTAGCAACAGCAACCCCCCCACTTTTTTCCCCAGCCTTACTTATACTATACGAAATGTTAATTGAAAGGCTGGTTGCCCCCCCCCCCCCACTTTTAGTGATGTACCGAAAATGTAGTATTAGAATTGGTACTGAAAGTAGTTGTCACTGAGAAAAAGTTTACCTCTACCCCCCCCCCCCCCACCCCCACGAAATAGGATTTTCGACTTTGGGCAACTTTTCCTTTTTTTTTTCTTTTTTTTTTTTTTTTGCTTGTCAACTTTTTCAGGTAAGTAAAAAAATGTTTTCTCTGGCTGCCCCCCCCACTTTCAAAAACGATGCTACGCCACTGGAAAATACAATACGCCAGGATACAATATGTACATGTACTACAACTTCTAAATAAGAACTACATATGTACATGTCAATTCTTGCAGACATTTAATATTACAAAAATAAATATGTCAAGTGTAATAGCAAATTGGCTAATAAAACTTGAATGAAAAAAAAATTGACTAGTCATTGATTAATAATTTAAGGGGTCAACTGAGGTTTCTACTGTGCAATACTTTACCCTTCAGAGTAGAATACAATTTTTAGTTATTAGTAATAAAAAAACATTTTTGCTGAATGTTTGTCTGTAAAACATGTTTCTTCAGTGAAACAACAAAAGCATTGTCATAGATTTGTAAAATGATAATTAATATACATTATATATAAATACACTGTACGTATATTATAATATACATGTATAATACTAAATAACACCTGTAAAGAGGCATTAATTTTGTGTTAGAATACCTAGGGCACGGATGCACTTAAAATGCTTTCCAAATCACTTGGTTTCTATAGGCAAAAATTTGAGTTTTTTTAATTAAATTTATTTATTTATATTCCACATAAATTTTTAAAAATGTGAAAATCCATAAAAATATCAATATATAAATACTATCCTCATTAAAATATATTACGCACTGAAAACTGACTTGAAGGCAGGCAGAGAAAAAAAAATGCTATCATCCACTGTTCTAAAGAATATTATGCACTAAAATCTTCACTTACATCACCATCTTACTAGCAAAACATATAGAAGTAAAATCTTGAATTACAATCTTATACAATCTTATTAAGCAGTTACATTCTAACAAAATGTGAGCAATCAAGACACAATTATGAGTTTTCATTTACACATGAAATACTCAATTCATATATACAATATAGTACATTACACGAAAGACAAGAATACCATTATGTCTCTCACTATACAGAAAAGCTCTTAAGATGAATGACTAGGCTTCACACTTTTCTTCATTTTAATATTTTCCGTAAACACCTAATTTCATCTTATATAGTTGACATGCATGCATACTATATGACTAGCTGTTGACAAAATCTACAGAAACTATTCCACTTGGGTCAAAACCCTTGAAATATTATTATAGTGACCTGTTCCACATTATTGTGACCATTTAGCTTGGTAAGGAGATGTTTTAAGTAAAAAGTTTATATGTTAAAACTCGGCTGAAAAAGATGCCTGAAAATGTCACAAAAATCTTCCTCGTGTGAAAAAGGAAATTCACATACATCTGAAACCATATTTTACAATCAACAGTTTTAATCATAGTTTTTTTTTCATATCCTTTAAATATCCTCCTTTCCTTTGAGCATTTCTTCCCTTTCATCTAAAAATAAAACAACAAACAGATATTTTTTTTAAAAATCCTGAATTTGATGAAAACATTCATCAAATAACGAGACAAAAATTAACTTGGAAATTGAATTCCATAATTTGGTTTCCTATTTATGAGCAAAAGACGATTGGGAGGATTTACATGTATTATTAAGTAGTACTTCAAAATTTCAGCAATTTTAAATGTATGTTCATATGAGTTCCAAGGGACAACATCAACATGTATGCAAGTTTGGTCCTTTTTGGATCTATTAACTTGGAAAAGGATTTTCTTTTTTTAAAAAAATTTAAAATTATCAAGGAGTACCATCTATAAAACAAGTTTTTTCAGGGAGTTAAAGGGTAAAATACTTTTGATCTTTGGACCTCAAAATTAATGAGGTCTTCTCATTAGGCTATAAGTAGACAATACAGATACCCCCTACTTTCAGTGAAAACAGAGACGATAAGGTCAATCAAGGTTAATCACTGTACAAAATATACAAGCTATACACATGTACTGTGGAAGAGAGTTTGCAAAAAATAAAAATAGGAACTACTCATATTTCCCAGGACAGTGGGAAATACTGGTAATTCCTGGGAATTACTCAGGAAATACTGGGAAATAAGTAATAGCTACATATTTATACTTTTAATCATATTTGCTTGGGTCAAAACATGCATGCAGTACATCTTATCAACCAAGATATTAGTCTAGTCAATCCAGTAAAAATATTAACTAATTGCAACAGAATTTATTTCATCAAATTTAAATCATATTATATATGTGTTTGAATATATCAAAAGTTTAGAAAAATTTAGGAAGGGGAAATTGAAAAAAAAAAAATTATTATGATAATTTTGCTTTAAGATTTTATGTCACATTTCAGCTGCAGTACCTTCAAAGAGAGATAATAAATAATCTTCCTGTACGATGTAATAGCAGACAATTTTTTTCAGTTATTGTATTCTTGTAATGGAATAGGAAATAATCAGCCTAGCTGGTTAGTAGTGGTATCACATTTCATGAATCAAATATTTTGCTAGTACATGTACTTCTTTTTCAATAATCAACACAGTATATTCATATAGAAGTCATGAGTGTCCAGTGCATTCATAAAGAAGTCATGAGTGTCTTTTTTTCTGTATAAGTTACAAATGAAATTACATCCTAACATACCAGCACCCCCCCCCCCTTAAACACTATGACGCTGATAAAAACCCAAAGTCTCCAATTTGGAAGACCAAGTAATGTTTTGCATCAAAAAACAGAAATCAGTTTATTATTCAAAAGTTTAAACCCAATAGTGATCCCAACCAATCCTTAATGGGGAGAGGGTATGATTAGAACAAACTTAAATCTTCACTAACTAAAGAATCTTTCATAATTATTTCGACTACCTGTGGCTTTATTGCCCTATACATTTGAACTTACATTGTGGTCCCGCCCTATCCCCAGGGGTCATGACTTGAATAAAATTGAATCTACACTACCTGAGAATGCTTCCATATGAACAGGACTAATCATGGCTTTACTATTTTTGAAAAGAAGATTTTTTTTTTCTATGTTTCTATGAAAAACTTGGATTCCATGTTGTGGCCCCGCCCTACCCCTAGGGGTCATGATTTGAACAAAATTAAATGTCCACTACCAGAGGAATGTTTCCATATAATCATTCAAGCCTCTGCTATTCTTGAGAAGAAGATTTTTAAAAGTTGAATCTACATTCCTACCCCCGGGGGTCATGATTTGAACAAACTTGATTCTACACTACCTGAGGATGCTTCCATACAAATATGATCAATTATGGCTTTGTTATTCTTGAGAAGATTTTAAAAGAATTTTCCTACATAATTTTATTTAAAACTTTGGTCGGCCATTGTGGCCCCGCCATACCCCCGGGGGTCATGATTTGAACAAACTTGAATCTACACTACCTGAAGATGCTTCGATATAAATATGATCAATTATGGTTTTGTTATTCTTGAGAAGAAAATTTTTAAAGAATTTTCCTATACATTTCTATGTAAGTGGTCCCGCCCTACCCCTGGGGGTCATGATTTGAACAACTTAAATCTACACTATCTGAGGATGTTTCCCCGTAAGTTTCATTTTTTCTGGCACAGTTGTTCTTCAGAAGAAGATTTTTAAAACATGCCACCAAATTTTCATTACTTCCCTTTGAACAAACTTGAATCCCCTTCACCCAAAGATACTTTGTGGCAATTTGGTTGAAATTAGCCCAGCGCTTCTTGAGAAGAAGTCAAAAATGTGAAAAGTTTACAGACAGACGGACAGCAAGACAGACAGCTAGACAGACGGACGGACGCCGGACGCATTACTATAATCGTATAAGCTCTTCTGGCCTCTGACCAGTAGAGCTAAAAATGAGGTCTCAAAGATTTATAAATAAAAAGTTGGTGTGGCATTCCACCTCAAGCTAACCTTTACAACGTTTATAGAACATTAGTACAGCCAAGGCACCAAAAATCACTAATAAAACTCCAAGTCCAACCGTTACAGCTACTATTATAACAACTGGAGATCCATCATCTTTGTTTTCATCTATTGAAAATAGAAAAACTACATTTATTAGAGTGTTCCAATGAACAGATGTTGCAAGCTTTATAGTTTTACTAAAGATTACAAGGAATATTTTAAGGATGGTCAACTATTTATTTGCTACTTGCATTGTATTTAAGGCATTTGCCTGCAAAGAAAAACAGAATGCCCATAGCCCACAATGCTCACTTGAGTCAATATGATTCTGCTGATTATAACCAGCAGATTTTTTTCTATTATATATTTCTATGTAAAATGTTTATCCCTTTTGTGACAATCAGCACTCTACAACAATCCTTTTACTTAATGTGATCAGTCATGATGTACATGTGTAGATTTAATTTTTTTTTTAGTTTGTGTGGGAAGTCTGTAAAACTTGAACCATTGTGGCCCACCCCATCTCAGGGTCATGATTTGAATACACAGTATTCTTTAAAAAGCGTTCTGCCAGCAGTCATTTTACAGTAGACTTCAAAGGAAAATGCACAAGATTGTGGCACATTGTTATAGCTTTAAACCAACTCTCATTCGCGTGCGAGAAAATTTTGCACGGTTCGCATGAGTCTTGTCTCTAATCCTTCGAGACTGAATTAACAGACATTAGTTCCAGCAAAATGATCTTTAAGGGTACATACCTTTAGCAGGTACTTTGAACATCTGCTCCTCACAGTCACCAGCTGCATTACAGCATTTATATCCGACAGTTACACCTTTTGTACAGTCTCTTATCATATGGTAACCATTCACTGTTTGGCCTGTTTCTTTATTCTAAATGCGAGTGAAGATATTCATAAAGCTGATATGTTCCCCATCTATTATGATAATTTTAAAACATGTTCTTAATAAATGTTTCAAACTAAGTCTTTGATGAAATGTAGCTCAACTGGTGAAATTAAACAAACATTTTTATTTTATTGGTAGATTAATTTTATCTTTTATGCTACTGTAACAGTGTACACGTGTTCAGTAACAATTACAGAAAAATTTGTTTTAATTATTTATTCATTTACTTATTTATTTATTGTTTATTCATTAGCATCTAACATTAGAATACAACAGAATAGTTTCAATGCAAGGAAAAGATTGGAGGCATTGAGAATAAATCGTTCATCTTGCGTTCACCGTTCACTTTGCGCTTGCGTTTGCGTTCTGCGTTCACGCACCATTCTCCGTTTACACATTGTTCACCAAGTTGCGCTCAGCATTAACGCTTCGTTCACTCACCGTTCGCTCTGCGTTCGTTCTCGTTTGTTCAGCGTTCGTTCATCGTTCAGGTGGGAAAGTAGAACATTTCAGGGACTGTATAGTAACCATGGAAACATTGTTTATTGAAATCAAAAACAAAAACTCATGTATCTTAGTGTTGTCCACATGTGTAACAATAAGGGATGTCAAATTGGTCAATTTTTGATAATTGGTTACTCGGACATTTTTTCTGATCGAGTACCCCTGTACTCAGTAAAAGTGTACATACAAGTGTGCTAATTTTCTTGAGCCCTGTTAAGCTCTGTTAATTTTTCACATTCATAATTGTTTATAAACATCGAGTCCAATGGGAATTATTTTTGTACTAAATTTATTTATCACATAAACACAAAGTTAACGTCATCAAAATTGATACATCAAAAATTAGATATGGTTTTCAGATCTTGTTTAGGATCTACATGTATTTGATCAACCCAAAAGGAGTACAATCTGTTATGCAGGTTTGTGGTGGTTACACTTACGAAAGAGAAGAAACAGACGTTAGGATCGCTAGTCTAACATTTTTTCGATCATGGAGGTATATTGTTTTTGTCCTGTCTGTCTTGTTTTCGTTATTTCATATGTTAGTTTTTCCTCCAGTACACATTAAACTTACTGTATGTAAACTAGCTGATTTTCAATTTTTAAATCTTTTTCCTCCAGTACACATTAAACTTACTGTATGTAAACTAGCTGACTTTCAATTTTTTTATCTTTTTCCTCCAGTACACATTAAACTTACTGAATGTAAACTAGCTGACTTTCAATTTTTTTTTTATCTTTTTCCTCTAGTACACATTAAACTTACTGTATGTAAAATAGTTGACTTTCAAATTTTTTTTATCTTTAGTTATCTTGAAATATTTTGGAATTCTTCGCTTTTAAAGTGGGAAGCGGCATTTCTATGCATGTCCGATTTAACTGATGTATACTGATCAAATAATTTAAAAAGTATTTGGAGATAATAGACCATACTTAAACGATATTCACTGCAAGCAAATTAATCACTGAAGCCATCTTAAAATTAAGGACCACAATAAGCTTAAACAGCTGTATACCAGGTACTTCTCACTAATTACTGTGTATACCGGTACACAGCCACAGGCGATAACGGGCATTTTACAGGTGTGGATGATGACACACTAATTAGTGTATGCATATTTTCATTATTTTTATGCCCCCAGATTCATAGATCAGGGGCGTATATTGTTTTTGTCCACTCCGTCTGTTTGTCTGTCTGTTGTCAACTTTAACCTTTGCCATAATTTTTAAACAGTGAGAGATAGAGACTTCATATTTAGTATAAATACTCCACTAATTAAGATATTTCAAATGACACCAAGGTCAATCTCAAATATTGTTGTAATGCAGCTTAAACCGTGTTATGTAACTATCTAATAAGGGTCTGTCATCTTTATCATAAATAATAAGGAAACGGATTAGTATAAGTTTTTGAAACTTGTTTCCGAATCCTTTTTGATCTTTGTACTTCCTATCTGTATTTCTTGCTTGTCATGTTCAAATAAAATATGGTTTAAACTAAGGTCAATGACCTTGTGACCTTGACTGTGATCTACCGGGTATATGCTAAAAATAGCTTTTTCAAACTTTAGCCACTTTTGAACCATAGGAGATAGAGGCGTCATATTATGCATATGCATATTCAACTAATTAAGTTCTTTTAAATGACACCAAGGTCAATGACCTTGTGACCTTGATTGTGACCTATATGCTAAAAATAGCTTTTTAGAACTTTGTTGCCATCGGACACATAGTTTTTCAAAAACACATCATGTTTGATACTAGTAACAGAGTACCATTTTTAGTATTCGATACTCGGACGTTCGATCTTTGAATAAAGCTTGATACCTTTGTAAGCGTCCCATTTTCTCCGGTGAAACAAGTTGAAGTAACACATCCATCCTCTTCCATGGGTTTTGCAAAGCAAACATCTACAATTGTTAAAATCCTCAGATCAAAAGCACTCTGTGTGTGTCCAGAATTAGCTATGAAAATGATTCCAAATAAATTAAATTCCAAGTAAATTATTCCAAAATACTAATTACTCTCCAAACTTATCTTCGCTAGCCAAGGATTTCTGAGGTATTCTCCTCTCCTCATGAACCTTTGTCATACGGTGTTCATAGAAGTTGGGGTCTTTTTTTCGATCGGTAGACCAATCAGCAATTGTTTTTTTCTTTTAAATGACGATATTTGCTTTCGGGATACTTCTTGACTCATTAATCTCAGAGATGAAAAACGCAAGTAAACAACTATCCGTAAGATAACATGCGATTCTATGAATATAGATGGTGTCATCCAATATTTTCTAAATATGTGATTAAGAATCTATATTGAAGCTTCTGATTTTTTTTATAACTCAATTATTGCTTCTTAAATATTCTTGAAAAAAAAAACCTTAGACTTAATTTTTTTAAACACGCGTCCTTATTTCTGTTGATGACGCAATCTATGCGTACCCTGATTCGAGATCACGTGATGAAAACAATCCCGTCTTTTGACTTCACAGTATGCCAAATGTTCGTATCAGAAACCCTTGGCTAGCGAAGATGCTCCAAACTTTGCTTGCAAGGGAGGGGGTATTATAATGACACCAACATATTCCCTTGGTCTCATCAATATTTCCTTATCATTCTTGAATGAGGATGTGACTCTTCAGCTGGAAAGAAACTTGGATGTTTTGTGTCTAATTTGAGAAGTTTTTGGACAACACAACAGATGATGACTAAATTGACTAAATACAGATACATTTCAGTAGTTCTTCAATATATTTTCTTTTTAAAAAAACAAATTATTTGTACCTTTTACTGACAATTGTAGGAGATACTCAGATGTATCTTGTGTGACGTTGACGTAATTAATCACCAGAACATATTTAGAAATGTCACTTTTCTGCACATTCAGTAAAACTAAATTTCTTGGCTGCGATGCATTATTATGATTGTGGATGAGACGATTTTGGGCATCTCTGAAGATTTCAAACTTGTTTTCAGCCACAGTGTATCTGGCGAAGCTGGGATCCCCTAATACATCCTGTTTGTACCAAATATAGCTATCCACAGTACGGTCCTTCTTCTCGGGTAGATCAAAGGACAAAGTAACATTGTCACTTATGCAGCCAACGATGGTTTTTTGTATATCGGTATGTTGACTAACTACTGCAAAGAAAAATTAAAACAGATATTCTTAATGCTTTGAATTGATATACATGTATACATATATATCCAGAGGTCCATGGCCACAACACTCACCTGAGTCACTTTGCATCAGCAGATTTTTTAAAACCAGCGGCCATGACATTCACAATTTTGAAAGTTGCACCATTGCTCATTTTAACTATAAACTTATTATCATGCTTAGTTTGGTTACTTAATACCAACAAGAGGCCCAGGCGCCACATCGCTCACCTGAGCAAATCGGCTGGGAAAAAAGCAAAAATCAGAACAGAACTGACAAGAATCCCATGCGCAACATCGCTCACCTGAGCACTGTGGCTAGAAAAAAAGTAGAAATTGGTTTATTATTGAAAAGTTTAAATCCAATAGTATTCCCATAACCAATCATGGCTTTGCTATTCTTGAGAAGATGATTTCTAAAGAATTTTCCTATATATGTCTAAGTAAAAATTTGATCAGCCATTGTGGCCCTGTCCTACCCCGGGGGTCATGATTTGAACAAACTTGAATCTACACTACCTAAGGATGCTTCATTATAAATATGATCAATTATGGCTTTGTTTTTCTTAAGAATAAGATTTTTAAGGAATTTTCCTTTATATTTCTATGTAAAACTTTGGTTGGCCATTGTGGTCCCGCCCTACCCCGGGTGTCATGATTTGAACAAACGTGAATCTACACTACCTGAGAATGTTTACATATAAATATGATCAATTATGGTTTTGCTATTCTTGAGGAGAAGATTTTTAAAGAATTTTCTTATATATTTCTATGTAAACCTTTGGTCGGCCATTGTCACCCCGCCCTACCCCCGGGGGTCATGATTTGAACAAACTTGAATCTACACTACCTTAAGATGCTTCCATATAAATATGATCAATTATGGTTTTGCTATTCTTGAGGAGAAGATTTTTAAAGAATTTTCTTATATATCTCTATGTACAAATTTGGTCGGACATTGTGGCCCCACCCTACCCCCGGTGGTCATGATTTGAATCTACACTACCTGAGGATGTTTCCCTATGAGTTTAATCTTTTCTGGCACAGTGTTCTTGAGAAGAAGATTTTTAAAACATGCCTCTATTTTTTCATTAATTCCCAATTATCTCCCATTGAATGAGGGCGTGGCCCTCCATTTGAAGAAAACTTGAATCCCCTTCACCCGAGGATGCTTTGTGGCAAGTTTGGATGAAATTGACCTAGTGGTGTTTGAGAAGAAGTCGAAAATGTGTGTAAAGTTGACAGACAGACAGACAGCTAGACAGACAGACAGACGGACGCCTGACCAAATGAAAAGCTCACTTGAGCCTTCGGCTCAGGTGAGCTAAAAGGTTAACAAAGGGGAGACGGGGGGCTTGAATTTTAATACTATACTGGACAAAATGAGATAAGGATCATCAAATTAAATATGTTTTACAAATACTGTGTGATAGAAAACAGAATGCAGTTTTAACATGACTATCATATTTTATATTTAAACAGTGAAAAATTAAACAATGGATGTGAAATTGTTTGAACATACGCTATGAATTGTTCATTAGGGTCACTTTAGAATTCAGCATGTTGGGGTAGACCTGAAAATAAGATTTTTTTTTCAGAAGAGTCAAATTAAGTCACTAAAATGATTGCCAGTATTTTGTATGACGTCCCCGCAGACCCATGCTGCTCATCAGCCGTCCAAGGCTAGCCTGAGGGATCTGTTGCCATTCCACCGGCAATGCTGTCTGAAGCTCCCGTCGATTTTGGGGAAGTGTAAGACGAACTGAAATGTGTTGCTAAAAAACGTTCCAGGCATGTTCAATTAACTTCAGGTCTAGAAAACGAATTGGCGGGTCCATATGCTAAGTTGTTACACTTTCCAGGTACTTGTTTACGTTTGTTTACGATTCGGGCTCTATGAGGTCGAGCATTATCGTCCATTAAGATGAAATCCTCCCCCAGAGTACATGCAATACGTCTAACAATAGGATGGAGAATATCTTTTCGGTATTTTAAACCTGTCATGTTGCCTTCAATAATGTGCAGATCAGTTTTGCAGTCAATACTTATGCCTTCCCAAATCATCACCAAACCTCCATTTACTCTGTATTGCTCAGAAATGACACAATTAGCATATCTTTCCCAAATTGAAATGCAAACAAGTTTTCTGTCATCAAGAAAGTCAAAACATATTTTCGACTCGTCTGAGAAGAGATCAGAACACCAATGACGTTATTGCCAAATTTTTGAGTTTTGTTGCCCACTCTAGTGAGTCGATTTCTGCGGCACTCTAATTTTAATACAGCAAGTCGGCAAGCCTTGAGATTTTGCTTCTTGAAGTCTGTTTCAAACTGTTTGAGTAGAAATTTGTCCGTTGCTCTCTGATGCCCAGTGTTGAGCTTAAGAGCACTTTGGAAGCGGTGCGTCTCAGCAAAATTGGCCAAATAACGATCCTCATGGACTGCCGTACACCTTGGACGTCCAGATTTTAGCCTTTTTTGACAATTTTCTGTCTGTAAATATCGGTTCCATAACCGTTAATACCGCTTTGGAAAAGAAAAGTCTTTCTGCAACGTGACGTTGCGTTTTGCCAGCTTCCAGCATCCCAAGCTGCTGCCATGGATTGTTCGTCCATACTCATATGCCTCCTCATAGCGTCTTATCACCAGTTCTGGCCAGATATTCTGAAATTTTCTTATGTTCACGAAAGAAAACCCTCTTGAATACTTCTATGCTTTTCATTGTTCTACTTACTTTTTTAACGCCACGTACTTTCTTGACCAATATGTCCCAAAACTCATTAAACATGTGTGACTTAAATCGAATCGTGTTAATGACACGTTTTTTAAACTTCTTAAGCCTTGTTGTCACAGAAATTCATGGGTATGAAATATTATTCATGTGTAAAAATATTACCCCTACCTTATTTTGCCCAGTATACTTGAGAGGTGCCTTCATATTAATATAGCATATGACTTTGCTGTTCTTGATAAAAAGATTTTTTAACAAGAGGCCCATGGGACACATCGCTCACCTGAGCAAAATGGCTAGGAAAAAAAAGAAATCAGTTTATTATTAAAAAGTTTAAACCCAATAGTGGTCCCCAACTGTCCTTAACACCCTTATCCTCTGGGGTCATGATTTGAACAAAGTAGAATCTCCACTACCTGAAGATGGTCTCATAAAAATATGATTATTCATGCCTTTCCTATTCCAAAGAAGTTTTTAAAGAATTTTCCTATATATTACTATGTAAAACTTTGATCGGCCATTGTGGAACCGCCCTACCCCTAGGAGTTATGATTTGAACAAATCTGAATCTACACTACCTGAAGATGCTTCCATATAAATATGATCATTCATGCCTTTGGTAATTCTTTGTTAATTCTTGAGAAGAAGATTTTTAACAAATTTTCCTATATATTTCTATGTAAAACTTTGATCGGCCATCTTGGCCCCGCCCTACAGCAGGGGGTCATGATTTGAACAAACCTGAATCTACACCGGAGGATGGTTCCCTATAAATTTCCATTTTTCTGGCACAGTTGTTCTTGTGAAGAAGATTTTTAAAGAATTTTCCTATATATTTCTATGTAAAACTTTGATCGCCATTGTGGCCCCATCCTATCCCTGGGGGTTATGATTTGAACAAACTTGAATTTAAATTACATGAGGATGCTTCCCTATATGTTTCAACTTTCCTGGCCCAGTGGTTCTTGAGAAGAAGATTTTAAAAGAATTTTCCTTTATATATCTATGTAAAACTTTGTTCGGGCATTGTGGCCCCGCCCTACCCCCGGGGGTCATGATTTGACCAGATTTTAATCTACAGTACCTGAGGATACTTCCCTATAAGTTTCATCTTTACTGGCACCATGGTTAATGAGAAGAAGATTTTTAAAACATACCATCAAATATTCACTAAATTATATGAATAAGGGCGTGGCCCTACATTTGAACAAACTTAAACAAACTTAAATCCCCTTCAGCTAAGGATACTTTGTGCCAAGTTTGGTTGAAATTGGCCCAGTGGTTCTTGAGTAGAAGTCGAAAATGTGAAAAGTTAACGACAACAACGACAACGACGACAGACAACGGACAATTTTTGATCAGAAAAGCTCACTTGAGCCTTCGGCTCAGGTGAGCTAATAAGCAGTCTAAAGGAACAAAAAATGCATATCAACTATAATCATCAATATTATCATTAGTAATATTCAGCAATAATCAGTAGTGCACCATTTGGGGTCTCCAGGTAAATAACATTATAGTACTACTAAGACCACTCCCCCTTCTCAGGTAACCGTACGGTAAAAAAATTGGGTCTTTAAACACCCAATTTTATGTTAACGCCCCCAAAATCTACCTGATTCAAGATCAATAATTTACCGCCTGTCAATCATAAAAAAAACAATGGCTTCTGATTTGATTGACAGGTCAGCTACCTGTGCTTCTAGATGATCTGAGTTTGCATGTTTTAAAAACAATTACCTGGTCACGCGTCAAACGCTTTCATGTAACCGCATAGTATACACGCGGGTTAGAAAACTCCAATATGTTTGAATTTTATTTAAAAAAATAATTGAAAGTAGATTATTAAAACATTGACATTATATAAATGGTGCCTGTTTTGGAGGGTAACATTTGAAATTGACACCCCAAGGAAAACCATTGTCAACCGACGCGTCAGCGGAGGTTGACAATGGTTTTCCGAGGGGTGTCAATTTCAAATGTTACCCTCCAAAACAGGCACCATTTATTTTATTATACTGAATGTCTTATTTAAGGATGTCAGCAAAAAAAAAAAAAAAAAAAACGTCGATCGTCTTTACGTTCATGTATAGAAAGATTTCACACTCACCGGTTCACTATCTCCTTATTGTTTGTTTGATACTCGAATTAGAGTCATTTATCATATAAAGCTTCGTTATTTCTGGCTCGCAAGCATGTTTCCTACACTCGCAAGCATGTATCGTCTGTCGTTTGTTGTTTTCAAGTAAGCTTTATCGGACGCAAGCTTTTATTGACGTCAAGTTAATTCCGGTTCTTTCAAAACGCGCAACTGACGTTTTGAGAATTCTATGGTGAACCGTACGCGCATAATTTCCACGCATGTGGCATTACCGTTGTGTTACCCGTTGTCACGTGTGTTGCTAAGGCTCAGGGTAATCGAACGGATTGTTAACTGCGTCTAAACCAATCAGATTTTAGTATTTAACATAAAAGTATAATAATATAAAATATTTCTTTTCTATCTTCACTGCTGTTTGTTACTTGTAGGTGTTATATCGTCCACGTTATCTGTAGAAAAAAAGACCGCGTCCACAGAAACCGGCTCTATTTGCCGTAATTGGAAGTCCGACGATTTAAAATATTTTTTAAGAAATGGGATATAAGAAAAATATTCAGCACTAATAAACGGCATAGCATAGTTTTAAAAAGATGTTTTATTTTGTACTATGGCTACAATCCGCACGATGTTGTACAGTAATTGATGTCAGAATTAATGTTCGAATTTCCTCGCGTCTGTATATATACGTAATGAAAATGTGAAGATAATTAATAGTGATCGATTCTGAAAAGAAATCTTTCTAACAATAAAATTTTGTTAACTCACGAAGAATAAAAAATATGGAATATTTTGGAAACATTGTTGACCAGGGAAAAAAAAACATTCCGATCGCGGTAAATGCATGTTCACATGCACGACGGATAGATGGATCAATAATTTTTTTTTTCATTTCAATATTCAGACCTTTTAAACCAAGTGATTTCTTTTATTGAAGATTAAAAAAGATAAATATTATTGATTTGTAGTTTTTACTCGTGATTTTTTCTTTTATGTAAGGAAAACATTTTCTAAAACGATAAACATGTATCTTATTATTTTTTTTCCTTCAAAACATTACCATGATTACAATGAATGCGTTAAGTTTACAAATAAATTTCATATTACAATAATTATTTTACGTAGTTTCACTCAAAACCAGACACAAAACACGTAATGATGACCCCGATTACCAAACACAGACTTCCTGTGTAATGCTACGTATACACAGATTTTTGACATCTTGGGTATTGGGGGTCTCCAGGTAAATAACACCACTGTTACTTCGACCACTCCCCCTCCTCAGGTAACCATACGGTAAAAAAATTGGGTCTTTAAGTGTGTGCTTTAACATTCTTAAGATATTTAAACGATTAAAAGCTTTAGCATGAATATCAAGTATGTGGGATGACCATCTTACTCCTAAATGAGTTTGTGTTTCAACATTTTTAATAGTGGACCCATCTTCACCAAACACCAGAAAATGAATTATTAAATATTACAGAAGTAATTCAGTTTCTTTATTTCTTTAAGCCAACTGGCCCATCAGAGTTATACAACAAACATGATAGTAACAAAAAGAAAAAACATACAGAGAGAGTGAACGTAAAGAACACATACATGGGAATAATTCTATACATCAATTTTATTTTTTTCTTAACATTGTTGCTGCGTTCAAAAATTTGCCCAGATTTACGAGATCTTTAACATTATGGGAACTTAACAGCTGAATTAATTTAAAGACACTAGGCCTAGTATAATAATACTTTTTCAAAAATTTCTTTCTTATATCAATATACAATGGACATTTCAAAATAAAATGAAATTCATCTTCTATATCATGGAGATTACAACATGTACATAATCTATCATTTTTAGGTACGTTATGGTGTTTCAATATTCAACATGTGATTAGATAACCTGAATTTTGTTAATAGCTGTCTTAATTTTTTGTCAATAGGTTTTGTTAAATACCATTGCAAACAGAAATTGTCAATTAAATGTTGATATAAATTACACTTTGAAGAGTTTGATATATTTTCTAATATAGCTTGCCTAGAAACATCTAACAGTCGTTGTTTTATAATGAGATAAGATCTATCATTTAAATTATCTTCTGTCCAAAGTTGACCTAGACCTAAAAGGGACAATTCTTTTTTAATTTGTAAAATCCAAATGTCATTATGTAATACCATGCTTT